GGGCTGGGAGTCTTTCCACTACATGCCTATCCCCTGGCCCAGAACCTGCACCGGTGACATCCCGCTTAGCAGTGAATGTGGGAGCTCCTCCGGCCACAGGCACCTGAACCCAGCCACTCCTCCCTGCAAGAGGACTCTCAGGCAGCCTGGCTCCTTCTCCACTTCCAGACCTCATCTCRGGCAGGACGTGCTCAGGGAGGACACGACCATTCTATCCACACAGGACCCTGTTATTCTGCCAACGTGCCCATAGTGCTGCCTCCCAAGGCGCACCAACCAGCATTTGTACCTCTGTGCTGGCTGCCCCTGCTCCTCTAGCCTCCTTGGGCCATGTCTGCTTGCCTACATTCAACATAGCTGCTGGGACCTCAGAGGCGTTCACCACATCTGAATGACTTCATTATCCCCCAGCAACACCTCTCCTTCAGCTGGTGACAGACGCTGGCCTGCTGAGCTGACTATCCCATTGGCTCAGATTCCTCCTGGGTCCAACAGTGGAAGCTGGAAGCTGACAGAACCAGGCACTCAGACCTGCCTCTGCTCCAGCTGCGTCCCAAGCACCATGACCTTGCCGTAGTCAAGCTGGCCTTTCTTGACACATCACCTTACAAATGTCATGCCACACATGCCAGGCTCAAGCCTAGCTCCTGTCAGCAGAGTTGTGCTAAAACAGCAAACACCACACCCCCGCTGAAAGGCTGCCTGTGTTCCTGAACCCAGCGYGCAGGGTTTGCCTTGCGGTGGAATTCCAAATGCAACTGTGGAAAGCAACAGCCTTCGAGYGCCAAGCGAGTCCACAGCCCAAGAAAGAGCAGGCCTCAGAGAGTCAGAGACCACAGTTCCAGACTCTGACCACATGCCTCTGCCTCTCCCCACCACCGAGACTGAGGTTTGCTAGAGCCTCCTACCTGGTCCCAGGGCTTCTGCCCTTGCTCCCCTCATACCTCCAGTCTCAATGGAGCAGCCAAAGAAATCCTGTTACACCAAGGCAGCCCATGCCATACCTCTGCTCAAGCCTCCACAGGCCCCTCACCCCTCAGAATGAATGCATAACAATCTATGCTTCACTGTGACCACAAGACTGGCTGTAGTCACACTGGCCACTTGCTGCTCTCCTCAAGTATCCCAGCCCCTCTGCTGGGTCAGCACCTTGGTGCCTGCTCATCCCTCTGCCTGAACTGCTCTTCTCTCAGCTGCCCAGGGGGCTTTCCCTCACCTCCTGCAAATCTTTACTCAAAAGGCATCTTCTCAGTGAGGAGGTCCCCAAGCACCTTATCACCATGAAACCCTCCCTCTTGCACCTGCCTCTGAGCCACCTACCCGCCTTTCCCACCTCAAGTTTTGACAGTAGTTATCACCTCCCAACAGTGAAACTCTCTCTTGGTGGTTACTGATCCTCTGCTCTTCCACATCGTTGAGCTCCGTGAAAACACAGATCTTATTTTGTTCACTGATGTAACCATCACACCTGGAGCCAGTCCAGGCATAAAGCATGGGTCAAATAAACACTGGATAAATGACTTATCAAACTCTCAAAACTAGTCCTAGAGGCCTCTCCTTTTCTAATCAAAGAGAATCCACCTAGACCAAACAAACCTTCCCCTGGACACCACAGCCACACAGGTCTAATACAATCCCCTCACATTTTGGATGCAGAAACCAATGGCTTCAGCGTGACAAGACATGGTGAATGTCAGACAGATAACAGAAAGAGAAGGCTAGAACCCACCCAACTCCTACTCAGAGGTCTTTCTACCAGACCACATTTGGCTGCCTCATCCAGAAAGGCAATTTCTAAAGAAAAAAAGATGAAAAGAAATTTAAGGTGAAAAAGAAAGTCTCAAATACACAACCAAAAACCAGGGGGTGTGCAGAACAGAGGGTTTACCAATAAGACCAACTCTCATGCAGCACATGACCTTGACCTCTTCAGACCAACGTGCAAGAGTCTGGATGAACCACCATTTCTCAGTACTAACAATGTAAGATGAGGCACACTCCCTAACCTTGCAGAATTCACTGCCTGGTGAAAAAGGTAACTCATAAAAGAATACCAAAGTTCAAGCTGCACATCTACAGGCAAAGCTTTAAAAAGAGGCATGCTGCAGGTGAATTCTGAAAAGTAAGAAAAGAAAGCCCAGCAAAGGGAGGGAAGGAACATTCAGGTAGACCACAAGAGCTCAAAAGCGAGAGGCACTAAACAGCATGGAACAAAGAAGAACCCAGAAGCCCATTAGCACTGCTGAGGGCAAAGTTCAAAGAAAGGCTGGGTGGCAGATGTGGCTAAACATTTTGAGTAGTGATGAGGTTATAAAGGGCCTTAGATGTCATGCAAAAACATCCACCTGTGGCATAACATTGCAAGAGAATTGACCATTGGGTTTTAACCCAGTCTGCCTCAGTGAGTGTTGCCTAGAGGACAAAGCATGTGTTTTACAAACTACAAAATAACAGAAAACATAACACTTATGAAACACCAAGAACAGGACCAGTCAACCTGAGTGCTTGATAAACGTCAGCCACATGTCATGGCATCTTTAAGGGCTGTGCTGTACAGGTCCCTCCACAGTCAGGTATACTATGGGAGGTGTAGTCTCCCTCCTGGGTTTCCCTGTTGGAGGTTCATTATCATGGGAACCACTGGCAAAGCCACAGGAACCTAGTTAGCAGCTCTGCTAGAACGGCACTGGCATAAGTGAAGACCCAGAGTGTGGGCAGTGACCACCACCTACTGATAGAAAAAACACACCATAACAACTCTTCTTCATGGAGAGTTCCATTCTGTCACAGGTGAGGGCCACAGAATGGAAAGCAACCCAGAGGCTGGAGAGGCCTCTCTTTTGGGCCCAACTTCTTGAATTTGCCTTGCCCTCTTCAGTAACAGCCTCTGACAACTCTCAAAACTCCACTGCATCTCTGTAACTGTACCTGGAAGCTGCTCTCAAAAGGGCCTAAGACACAGCATGGCACCAAACTCCAAGGCTGGCTAATGCCACTTTCACAAAAGAAAGTGGAGGCCATATTAGTTTCCTTTGTCTGCCACCACAAATATAGTGGCTTAAAATAACAGACATGTACTATCAGTTATGGAGACCACAATCGTGAAATTGAAGTATCAGCAGGGTCATGCTCTCTAAGAAACTCTAAGGGAGGATCCTTCTCAGGCACTTCCAGCTTCTGGTGGCTGCCAGCCATCCCTGGCTCTCATTGGCTTGTAAACACGTGGCTCCAACCTCTATGTCCATCTTCACATGGCCATCTTCCTTATGTCTCTGAGTCTGTGTTCAAATTTCCATTTTCATATGAGGACACTGGTCTTAGGATTAGGGCCAATCCAAATCCAAGATTTGTTAATTTTGCAAAGATCCTATTTCCAAAAAAAGTTCACACTCACAGGTTCCAGACAGACATGAACTTAGAGAAGACACCACTCAACTCAGTACAAAGACAAACTACCAAGAGACACCGTCTTCAAKCTAAAGGTTTATTCACTGTTTTAACTACACAACAGCTCTATTATTCTTCCTTCTCCTTTGATTGTTAAGAACTAATTAGAGGGCCCTGGATGTAGCCCAGTAGCAGAGAGCTTGCCTAGCATGCAGGAAGACTTGGGTTCTATCCCCAGCACCACTAATAATAATAATAATAATAATAATAATAGGGGCTGGGGTTATGGCTCAGTGGTAGAGCGCTGGCCTTGCATGTGTGAGACCCTGGGTTTGATCCTCAGCACCACATAAAAATAAATAAGTGAAATAAAGGTTTTGTGTCCAACTACAACTAAAAAATAAATATTTTTAAAAAATAATAATAACAACAACTAGAATTTAGATGAAAGGGTCCAAAACCTCAAGCCCTAAAAGCAACATATRAAAGTTATACTGCCATGGGATCCTTTGCCCTGTCACCACTAGGACCTCCTATWCCCTACTATTTCAGAATTTTCACCTTATCTTGGACCCTAACATTGGTTTTGATGAAAACTCATATTGTTCAGTCAAGCCTAACACTGGCAGAGTAAAACAGGGACTCTGGCCGCCTTTGATGGCTCCCTTCAAGTCACTGTATCTGCGCCATCAGTAACTCCTGGCTAACTCCCCAAGACGCTGAAAAACAAGCTTTTCTGACTGGATGAAGTGAGTGCCAAAGTTTACGATTCTAAAACTCACACGATGGGGTCTACTGTGAAACAAAGGCGCACAGATCACTTCACCATGTTCATGAGGATTCTACTTATTTTATATCACAATTCTTAATTTTCAAGATCGCAGGCTTTCGCCTTGGGATAGAACAAACAGGAAATCTTGAAGCACTCGCCTCCGACCAGTTCCCACCAATAGCTGACCTCACCCGAGGTATCTCCCAGGTAGCTCCCTCCTTCCCCAGGGCCCCAGGTACCATCCTCCTTCCCCAGGGCCCCAGGTACCACCCTCCTTCCCCAGGGCCCCAGGTAGTACGCTCTGGCCTCAGGTAGCACCCTCCATCCCCAGGGCCCAGGTAGCACCCTCCTTCCCCAAGGCCCCAGGTAGCACCCTCCTTCCCCAGGGCCCAGGTAGCACCCTCCTTCCCCAGGGCCCAGCGACAGAGGACTTTGAAGCTGCACTCAGGTATTAATTTTTTTCACTGTAATTTGCTTCCTGCGTTCGTTGACACAACTCTGGAGTTGGTTTGGGGGCCAGAAAGTGGGAAGATGGGAATTCTCAGGGCGCCTCCAACGCTCCTGCAGGCTCCAGGCCAGAGCCGCAGCCCAGCAGAGCGGGAGGCCCTTCGCGCCGGCCCAACGCCTGGCCCGGCTGCCCGGGAGCCTCCGAGTCCGCGCTCCGGACAGCCCCCGGCGGCGCCTCCCCTCCTGGCCAGCCCGCTCTCCGGGCGGCCACTGGCACCGCCGGGACCCCACGGAATCCCCTCCCTAGGCCGGTCTCCACCCGCAGCCCGGCAGGTCAACTCAGCCACCTGACCTCTGACCCCTGACCCGACCCGGTCCTTCTTGTCACACCCACCTGCCCGGGACCTTGCTGTTGCTGCGCTTCCAGAACTGCTTCCTGGCCCCGTCGCTGGCCATGGTCCCTCCTCATCCCTCACGTCCGCGGCCCCGACACTCCGAGTGTGGCCGGCCTGCCCCCGGCAGCCCTTTCCCGTAACCCGGGCGGCCCCAGCGCACTCCCGGGACTCCTCAGCGTAGAGCCCAGAGGCTCTTCCGCCTCGCTCCGGAAGTTGTGGATCCGCGAGCCCGGAAGTCCCGCCTCTGTCCAGGCGGCGTGTGGCGTCATTACAGCGCGACGCTGGGAGGTGRGCGCGTTCCTGGCGCGGAGGCGGAGGCGGAGGCGGAGATGAGTTGGCTGTCTTTGTGGAGGCTCCGGCTCGGAGGCCTGAGCGCAGCATTACCACAGCCAAGTCGGCCGGGTGTCCGTCGCCGGTTCGTTTATTGAGCGCCTTCCAGAGACTGACCCTAGACCAAAGCGGCAAGGCCCGATTCTGGACCTGGAGCCCGTTTGTCGCTTGAAAAGCAGACCCCGCAGAAGGTGTGCCCCGCACCGCTTTGCGGGACACGAGTGGGCTGCAGTAAATACTGAGGACAAGCAYGTGTACCATGCGGCGGGGCGGGCGACACAACCACGAAGTGACGTGGAGCGAGTCCCAGGCCGCGGGCCAGGCGTCAGGTGAAGTTTGAGCACCGACGGAGCTTGAAGCCTTGGCCTGGCCGGCGCTCGACCACTTGGACACACGCTGCTTGGAATGTGGCCAGTGCTCACTGGGGTGTGTTTTGGGGTGAAATGCATACGGGACTCCAGTGGCTTAGTGTAAAAATAATAACTTTTACGTTGATTGCATGTTGAATGATAATATTTGGGTGTATTGGAAGCGATAGAATGTGTTGTTAAAATCATTTTGGGTTTTTTTTTTTTTTTCCTGAAGATTGTACCTAGGAACGTGCTACCACTGAGCTGGTCCTGAGCTCTCTTTGTTGCCAAAAGCTTGGACATTTTCCTCGATGCCAATCCAATAAGGAGGACACAGTTTTGAGAAAAAAGAGAAACACAGGAAGATTCCTGTCTCAAAGGCTATGATTCTGCCTATCTGCAGGAACCAGGGAACTTTTATAGAGGTGATTCAGAGAAAATGAGACTAGGGAGGAGAGATCAGGAAGGAGAAGATGGGGTGGGGGAAGAAGTTTAAGGAAAAGATGATAGGGTAAAAGAAAAAAAAGTGTTTCAAAGCCACACGGGATATGGTCAAAGCATCTCATCAAGTGAACGTGTTACATCTTTATTTTTATTTTGACAGAGTCTCAGTAGGATTACAGTCATGCATACTTCTTTTTTTTAATGTCACTACCAGAAAAGTTGAAATTGCGTATGGCTTTGCATTATGTTTATGTGGCCTTAAACCAAAGTTGGGGGTGGGGGAGACTGGCATTGCAGGCTGAAGTTTTGCTTTTTGTTTGTTTTCCCATATAGATGAGTTTTAGTACAACATTTAGGAGCTTCTGGAAACACCATCAGTTTTATTTCGAAACTAATTACATTGTATTCCTTTCAGGCCAGCTGCTTGGAAGGAAAAAAAACAATACCATTGAACTACACCCTCAGCTCCTGATTATATTTTCTGATTAATGAAAGCTGGAGAGGCTGAGGCAGGAGGATCTCAAGGTCAAAACCTGCCTCAGCAACTTCTGGAGGCCCTACTTAGTGAGATCCTGTCACAAAATAAAAAAGTAGAAAGGGCTAGGGATTTGGTACAGTGGTTAAGTGCCTCTGAGTTCAGTTTCTGGTGCCAGAAAAAAAAAAAATTTTTTTTCCATGCTTCTTCATATACTGATGAGTATAATCAATTTAGTACTTGTTCCATGCTAGGTGTCCCACTAAGGTACTTTATATGCATAATCTCAATCATTCCAACCATGTCCTCAGGAGTACACAGCAGCCTGAAAGGCTCTATTAACTCTCATAACACTCAACTTTTATAGTTGCTAATAGCAAATCCTTCTACAATTCTGCATGCCCTGCAACATCTACCTGACCACATTTTTATTATATCTGTGTCCACTTTTAGCTTGTAGGATATTGCCAAGTGTGGCCTGTGCCTTATCCACAGCAACAGCCTCAACACCTCACACAGGAGGCCTTCCATAAATGCTTGAAAAATGGATGACAATCGCAGGAACTCAACGTATCCCCTTTTGCCATGGTGATAGAAACTCCCAGGAATCTCCACCCAGCAATCTCAATGGATCCTTGGTGACCCCTTTCAAACAACTACTAGGTGCTCAGGGATCCTTTGTGGCATAGCTATGAGAACTCTCCTGGGCTTAATGTCTCTACACAACCTCAAGGAATTTCCAGAGATCTGTAAAATGATGACTTCTAAAGGACCCTTCATTTACAGCCTCTGCTAGTGGAATTCAGGACAGCCCCAGAGATGAACTCCAAATACCTGTTCTTTACAGCTCAGTCTGACTTACTGCAAGAATTRGTGAATGGAGCTGGGCAAAGTGATGCATGTCTGTCATTCCAGCTACTGGGGAGGCTGAGATAAGGATCGCAAGTTGGAGGCCCATCTGGGCAAATTAGCAAGACCCTGTCTCAAAAATTTTTAAGAGGGCTAGGATGTAATTTAGAGGAAGAACATTCCTAGGTTCAATTCTTGGTATTGAAAAAAAAAAAATCAGTAAGGACAGAAATTAAAATGATGGAAGCAGAAAGGAAGGGAAAACAAAGTTTGCCCAAAAAAATTGACAGTGACTAGTCAGATGCAGTCCTTCCCCATAGTTTACTGTAGGCGTCCTAACTGCTGTCTTGGAAGAAGTAGTAAAACATTGACTTGAAGGCTTCTAGACTGGCTAAGCAAAAAATTACTAGTGCCCCCAAAAAGCATGAAAGGAGGGAGTGAGCCAGTTTGCAGCATAAATTTATGATTTGTTTTAGACATGCTGGGTTTGGGTCATAGATATTAAATCTCAGCCATGCACTAGATTAGAGAACACAATTTGGCCAAAAATTAAGCAGGGGCTTAGAGGGGACGCCAGAGCAGAGTGAGAAGACTGGTAATCAGAAACAGGTCAAGGTCATCACAGTCACAAAGACAAAGCCAGGATAGTTCATTTCCAGAGATGGATCTAAGCAAAGGGGACAGATGAAATTCAAAAGCGGAACCTGGTAGAAGGCCAGGTTTGAAAGCCAAAGTGATAACAGATGTGGAATCTGGGAGTAGGACCTATGCAGATATCAAACAGGACACATCCCCAAATCCCAGAGCTACAAAATGAGCAGAACCCTTTTTATTCATTTTTCTATTTTAAGGAACACATGGGGAAATGCTAATTGGAAGTGCATATAGGTGCACAGTGTTGGGGATGGAACCCAGGGCCTCATGCACACGAGGCAAGTGCTCTACCAGTGAACTATATCCCCAGCTCTCTCTTTAAGACGAGATCTAAGAAATAACCCAACTGATTTCAARTTTCTGGGTTCAAATGATCCTCTCAGCTCAACCTTCCAAGTAGCTAGAACTACAGGTGTGGGAAGTAATTTTTGTACAACAAACTTACTAGGCTTATGATTGCTACTATTTAAGACAAATACAAACTAATGTACCATTTCACACTTAACAGATTGGCAAAAATTTAAAATCTATCAATGTCAAAATTGATGAGAACAAGCTGGGTGCAGTGGCACACGCCTGTAATCTCAGCAGCTCAGGAGGCTGAGGCAGGAGGGTGGTGAATTCAAAACCAGCCTCAGCAAAAACAAAGCACTAAGCAACTCAGGGAGACCCTGTGTCTAAATAAAATACAAAATAGGGCTGGGGATGTGGCTCAGTAAGTAATTGAGAGCCCCCAAGTTCAATCCCAAGTACCCCCCCAAAAAAAATGATGATCCCATGGGTTTTGTGAAAAGAGTTTTCATGCCTTGCTAGAAGAGGTATAAATGGTTTGATATCATTGAGTGACCATTTAGAAATTTCTAGTAAAGATACCCAGCAATTCCCACTGGGTATTTGCCATGGAGCAACTTGCCAAGATGTGCAGACAAGAATATTTGTTGTGCCATTGCTTCTAGTGATGGTGGGGGATTAGAGGGAAAAGCATTCAAAGTGTGATCTACAGGAGAATTGACAAATTGCCGTTATCCAATAGAATACCATATGGTAGTAAAAAAAGAATGAATTGATTTTGCATMCATCTGTGTTAATTTCACAAACCATTGAGAAAAGTTTCTTACGAATTCGTATGATATAATACCAGCTAATTCTCTTGTTAATTTTTAGTTGTCAATGGATCTTTAAAGGTGCTGAGGATCAAAATCAGGGCCTCACACATGCCAGGCAAGTGCTGTACCACTGAGCCACAACTCCAGCCCCCAGTACTATTGTTTTCTTAATCTATAAATAACAAATTTTCCAAAGCATGAGAATGTTAAGAGCTAAATGCAGAAGAGTAGTTGCCTCTGGGTGTTTCGGGAATGATCAGAATGGAGCTCACAGGAGGGTTAGTTGCACCATTGTGCCTTATTAAGGCAGAYAGAATGTGTTCAGGTGTGTATGGTAGTTTTATGACTTTTCTATGTATAAGTTTTTCATAACACATAAAAATGTAATTATTGAGCTCTTTGCACTGTACAAGGAGCTACTGCAAACTGCAGGAAAAGGCAAAGGCAGACAACAGTGACTGGACAGGAGTCTAGAGAGCTGATCGCATCTAGGACTCTTGTGGCCATTGTTGAAGATTGCTTAGGTGTTGATGGGACAAAATGCAAAAAACATCAGTGCTAACTCAAGGAGATAAGGAAACTGAACCTCTGGGTAACATAAGGTTTTCAGTATGGCTAGATTTATGATACAGGTTGAATTCCATAGGGAACAGGTAGTGAAACATACTTGCACATAGGTGGTTTATTGAGGAGAAGTTGAACTGTGATGAGCCACATCATAGGCATCAGGCAAACCCAAGAGATGGCCCTCCAGACAGATGTCAGTGGAGCCTTCGMAGCACTGCATACTGTCTTCGGGTGTGCCACCTCAGGGGGGCAGTGCATAATCCTAGGAGACAAAGTGGCCCTGGGCTGAGGGCAGTTGCCAAGGAAGGTAACTTCCCTTCTTGTCTGCCAGGACCCATGGTTGCTGTGCCCTTCTCAGGCATGGCTATTGAACTAGCCCACCTGCCATTGGAGTTGGGCAGCAGAGCACCAAGAGACAC